AAAAAAATAATGACATTTTTTTATGTGTCACAAAAGAAGAAAATATTTTGTAGCATATATTTTGTACCATTAAAAGCTAATGTGATTTAAAAAATTCATGCTACTTTTAGTTACATATTTTAAAATTTTAGTGGAAATTTTATTTGCCACATTACAATTTCATCTATAATATAAAATAAAATGAATAATTAAATTGTAGAACATTGAAATTAATCAAAATTTCATTATTTTTCATCAATATTTTTTTAACTTTTTGAATCAAATATCTAGGTTAATATCAAATATGTCTAAATACGTGCTAAACATAAAGTAATGAGCAATAGTTACAACATGCATATAAAAATAAAAGAAAATAAAAATCAAAGACATGATAGGTTGAATAAATTATGTTTTCTCATACTTTAGAATCAATGCTAGCAATTCCCTATTCAAAAACAAACAATGGTAATCTGGAATCCAGTGAAATAAGACTTAGTTTAGAAAATAAATAATATAACACTCAACACAAGTAAACTATATTTATAAGAGCAAAGGAAAGACAAAAGCTCATAAAAATGATTACCATCGTTATGATGATTTTCAGAAGATGCTCTCTGGTTAACTGAATTAGAGTTGTGTGGAACTGTAGAAGTGTTTCCTGGCATCTGAAACAAATTAATGAAAACATATATCATTAATGTCTAAATCTTGATACCTTCTACTAGTCTTGACAAATAAGCAAGAAGAATGCGTTTAAGAAGATGCATATGTACACTAAGAAGATTATTTAGAAGGACAAAAGTAGTCATTCTTGAGTCGAATTGGAAATATGATAATGGACTAATTTTAATGAATGTTTTTTTTTTGTTCATAGGGTAATTGAAAAGGAATAATACAATTACAGATGACATATGTACCTGTATGTTCATATTGCTAAGAATTCCAGACAATTTTGCATTTGGGATATGTTCTTGGATGATATTCGCCATAATGTTCAGCATAGTTTTTAGTTGTTCGACACTCGGATCATTAGAACAAGAAACAACCTTCTCTTTTACGGTAGGCATCCTTCCAACACATCTGATATACCCTCTTTTTTCAGGACCTTTAACTTTAGAGTAGTCATCATTTGAAAAATCATCTACAGATCCTAGGGTACGTGATCCTTGGGTATTTGAGGAAACGCTTGCAATGGCTTGTAGGGAAGTCTGCATAATAGCAACATACAAAAACCATGACAAGTGTTTCTCAGCCACTGTTTTTGTCCCCCTTTCAAATTAAAAGCAACATACTTTGAAAGTGGTTGTTATACTATCATAGTATAGCAAACTACTTTAAAAGTATGTTTCTAATACTTTGAAAGTGGGACAAATAACAAGGTTTAAAACGAAACAAAGAGTATATGACTTGATATGATTAAAAACATGTATATATCATGTCTATGGAAATCATTACCATAAGTTGAGCGACTTTTTCATTCACGATATTTCCATTTTTACGAGTGCGGGTTTTTACATATATTTGTCCTCGTGTTGGGTATACACCATTCTTCAATGTCTATAACAAGATGTAGTTATGTTGATGAAAAATAAATAAATTAAAAAAAAGATGATAATATAAGTCAAAATAATAAAATATAATAATACTTCTTCGTGAGCAAGTCGAGCAAATGATTTTGTCCTAGAAACATGGGGCTCTTCCATCTTTGCACGGCTCTTTCTCATCAAATCACACATGATCTACATAATTATTTTGTACATAATCAAGATGGTGGAAGCAAATAGTTGAGATCCATAATTAATCCGTAATAGCAACAAATTTCATTTATATACATATAATAGAAATTTAAATACATTTCTTTATTGATAATACAATATGTAACAATCTAGAGCATTGAAAAATATTATGGTTTGGTAGTGAAAAATTGTTTTTAACTAAAAGGTAAAAGTAAGGATTCAATGAATAAAAAACATGCTAGGCCATTAAGGGTAATCAACTTTGTTTTTTTTTTTTTTTTTTTTTTTTTTTTTTTTATCATTTTCCATAAATTTATATTATCTTTTACCTACAATAGCAATGTACTTTCTATTTTTTTAGTGTAAAATTGTTTTAACTAAAAGATAAAAGTAAGGTTTCAATGAATAAAAAGCATGCTAGGCCATTAACGGTAACCAACTTTTTCATCATTTTCCATAAATTTATTTTATTTTTTACCAACAATAGCAATGTACTTTCTATTTTTTTAGTGTAAAATTGTTTTAACTAAAAGGTAAAAGTAGGGATTCAATGAATAAAAAGCATGCTAGGCCATTAATGGTAACTAACTTTTTTTTTTTTTTTTATCATTTCCATAAATTTATATTATCTTTTACCCACAATAGCAATGTACTTTCTATTTTTAGTGAAAAATTGTCTTAACTAAAAGGTGAAAGTATGGATTCAATGAATAAAAAGCATGCTAGGCCATTAAGGATAACTAATAAGTAATAGGATAAATTCATTAGTTTATGTAAAAACTAAATATATTACCTGATATTCTGGAGTAAACCAACGAGTAACAAAGTAACTCCCCGATTCTCAGGTATTGTTAATATGAGTTTTTGGATTAGGCCCTACTCGACAAGTTGGTTTAATTACTCGTCGACTAGTAGTGAGAAGGATCGCGGGTTAAGTGACCTACTCGACGAGTCCATAATGGGACTCGGCGAGTAGGAGATGGCAAGTGAAACGCTAATTCTTGGGGTTTGCACCCCTATTTAAAGGGACCTTAGCATCCCTTGGACCTCCTTACAGTTCCAAAGAACCCTTGAGAGCCTTATTCGTGTGTGTGTGCCTTGTATGTGTGTTTGAAGCCAGAAAAAGAGTTCTTGGAGGGAGAAGACTTGGCGAAGGAGATTAAAGCAATTCGAGTGTGGGAATCAACACACGTCTCAGATATCAACTTCTAAAGATACCCAATCCGTCATTCTCCCTATGGATCCCCCTTATTGGGTGAGTTTTAGGGTTTTCATGGAATATCAAGTTGGTATAATGAGCTATGGACTAGATCTGAAGTTGTAACTTCAAGTCTGGACTCTCTTTGGATTCTAGAAGCATAAAGTGGCAACTTTAGTCGTGATGGAGGTCCCCTTTGTGCATAAAGACCCATCAATAGCTTAGATTTGCCATTTTGAGCCTTTAAAGCCATGCATGCACGTAAAGTTTGCAACTTTACGTGATAAGCATGCCCTAGAAGCTTAGATCTATGATTTGGAGCCACTGCATGGCTCAAAATGGATCTGTATGGAAAGAGGACTGAATGGACTCGGCGAATCGCAGGGTCGACTCGGTGAGTCGCATGAAGATGGCCATTGAACTCGACGAGTTGGTTGAACAACTTGGCATGTCGGATGAAGATTTTCATGAGACTCGACGAGTTGAAGAACAACTCGGCGAGTCGGATGAGTTTTAACCAAGAATAATGTTAACGAGTATATCCGTCGAGTCGCAGGGAGGGAACTCGACGGGTGGCCTTAAGTTCTGATTGGGATTCGAAGGAACTCGACGAGTCACCTCGATGACTCGGCGAGTTGGATTGTGCTTCAAGGGACTCGGCAAGTAGCTGGTTGTACTCAGCGAGTTGAGGTTAACATGGACTGTTGACCGTGACTAAGGACTTTGACCTTGATCAAGGGTTGACTATTGGGTTATGGAGTACCTTATAAGGTTAAAGACTTATGCGTATATTAAACTATGCTTATAGGTGGTGGGGTCGGTGTCGAGTGATTCGAGAGTTGGAGTTTACCTTCTGAGTCGACATCTGCGAGGTGAGTTATCCTTACTATACCGGTATGGTCTACGCACCAAGGTCTGCCCTTTAGTTGTTATTGTTATGGTATGTTGCATGTGGTTTATGATTTGTTAGTTCGGAATCGAGGTAGACAATATGTTATGCTTTTATGATCCGTAGGGATTGGTGTGTTAGTAACCTACTAGGTCGGTACTCTAGCTACAGGAGAATTCTATGATTATGATCAGTGAGATAGATATGTTTGATGTTTGTATATGCTAGTATACGATAGCTATGCGCACATGGTTATTTATGTGTTGGTTGGGTTGAGGCGGTCCTGCTTTGTGTTGAAGGCCAACATACCCTATGAGTGGTCCAGGGAGACTGTAGGCCCACGTGGTGGACCAGTCATGCCAAAGGCTCGGGATAGATCCAGACATACTGTAGGCCCGGTAGGGCGATCCAGTCAGGACGATGGCCCAGTATGCATGTTGATTGAGTGATTATTACTATTATGGTATTGTAAGTGTGGTGTTGGTATTTTGGGGGTAGCTGACTAAGACCTCAGGCTTACAGCTTTCAGTTTACTGTTTCAGGTACTTCAGGAGATCGTGGAAAGGCGAAGGTGTTACCGTATCGCTTTTCATCCTTATGTTATGATTTTTGGGACACTCTGATGGAAATATGATTTCAAAACATTTTGTAAACAATGTCATGTGGTTTTTATTCATAGTTGAAAAAGTTTAAATTTGGTGTGAATTTTATGTATGTTACAAGTTGGTATCAGAGCCTTGGTTTGAGTGAATTGGAGGAGCACTCATGTAAATCCAGTCTCAAATCAAGGAGATTTTCGGAAATAAGTTTTAAAATGGTTTTCAAAATAAAGGATGGAGGGTGCAGAGGGTACGATCAGCCGGAGCCTGTAAGTAAACCCCAAAATACCATGCAGTTATTAGATATTCCGATATGTTAGAACAGCATGCTAGTGCTAGGTTAGGGATCTTCAGGAATCACATGTTAGATTTGCCCGATTTCATGATGCCTATTAGCCTAGGGTTTCTTGTATGTTGAATTAACATCATAACTGTAGCTATTTAGTGTATGCATCACGGTTATGCATAATAAAGACCTTATAGCCTGAGAATGTTGATTCGGCCTTCGGGAAGGATCGGATACTTGAAAGTCTATTGGATCTAGCGTTATGTGCATCTAGCCTACATTAGCCCTGCATGGGATGGTAGAAGTTTCATGAATGTGAGAGTTGTGTTAGGTGGTGAGTCTAGATGCGAAGTATTTGGTATTCCCCTAGAATGAGGGTTGAGTGCATTTCCTATGTTGATGATATTGTTAGGGCGTTGTGGTGATACTTGAGACAAATATGGGTAGGTGTGGAAGGTAGTATAGGACTGTACTACTGAAAGCACAGGACCCATATGCGTAGCAAGGAAGTCACAACCCCTAGGGTTTTTGGGTTTTGGTCTCCCGAAATTATGTTATTTATCTGATGACTTGTATATATTTTAGTATGGTGGTGATGAGATGTGTTGCGTTGGGATCCGGATCAGGATCAGGATCAGGGTCGGGAGACGGAGGGTTGGAGGTGCCGGTATCACTTGAGCCCGTGGTTCAGATAGGGACAGAGGAGTTGGATGGCAGGATCTGGGAGATCATGGACGACGAGATTACTGTTGCGTTCTGAGCGCAGCTGCCAGAGATGTTTGGGTCGATTAAGACCGCGATGGTTGAGTATTGTGATGAACGATATACAGCTCTAGCAGAGACAGCTGCCGCTGCAGCCACTTCGGCTGTAACTGAGGCAGGGGTTAAAGGAGGAGTCAGCAAGGCTTTCCAATAATGGGACTTCGATAATACGAAGCCCCCGATGTTTGATGGTACACACGATGTGATTAGGGATATGAGGTGGTTATCTAACATGGAGGGTTGTGTCTTCACATGCTCATGCCCTGCTGACCAAAAGGTCAGGTGTGCCCTGAACCTGCTGAGGCTTGGGGCAAAGGACTGGTGGAGGCTAACGACTGGGTCGTATACTGATGATCAGCGGGCTGTTGTTACTTGGGAGCAGTTCAGAGATATGTTCCGCACCCGCTACATTCCATGCGTTGAGCGGGAGCGGCTTGCGTAGGAGTTTTTGACCTTGAGACAGGATGGGGAGTCTATGATGGAGATTACCCGTATGTTCACGGAGAGGGCTATTTTATGCCCAGAGTTCGCTTCAGATCAGTATCAGATGACTCGTTATCTAAGTATGCTCAAGACTGATATTCGACAGTTCGTGTCTACACAGCGATGTGATACCCTCCTGGACCTTCAGGAAGCCGCGAGGCGGTGTGAGTTGGAGATAGAGTTGCAGTTGAAGGAGCAGCCTCAGGCACCGACACAGTCTCAGTCAGCGCCTAAGGGGTCTAAGACCGCTGATACACGGTC